CTCTGATATTACCACTAGCTTAAAATTAAGTTTACTCAGTTATTAATTCTAGTAGCTCTTAACTTTAATACACACTTATGTAAGTAGTCTACCTTGGTATTAGAGTAATTTGTTTTGAAAAATATTCTTAAAAAAATTACAACTTCACAAGTAATATTATTCCCTCCTATATGAGAAAATATGATGTATAGCTCAAATAATTTATGGCTAAAATGGCTACTCACCACCCTCGTATTTTTTTACTACCAAGTTGAGAGCTAGAACCAACTAACAGATTTTTATCTTCTTGTTAGGTTCTGTGCACCTCATGAATCATTTTAACTTATAGTTAAGCTAACTAGTTTGTAGCTCAGTAACATTTTAGTTTTTAGATAAATTGTACATTATAACTAACTATCTTGATTTAGCTTGTCTTAGTGTACTAGCTTAGTGTATCCATAACATTTTCCATTAAACTCTTTAGAATTATCGAAAAATCTTCTCTCACAGTTATACTTATCTTAGATACTAGTATAGATCTTTTTCCCTTGACTATCGGGAGAATCGACATAGCTAGACTAGTCAATTTTTGTCTGTTGTATTAAATACACAAACTAGTCATGAACTCATACAAAATTAATAATATCACACATTAAATAAACTATATTGTAAAATTGAATTACTATACATACTAAGTAATTTAACTACGCAACTCAATATTATAATTTCAAATAAAAGTAAGCACTTATATAAATAATATTAAACTCACATAAATGATATAGTTTAATATTATATCACATGATTAATTATATCACATAATTAATCCAAAAAATAATAATATTCAGGAGAAGGCTTTGCTTCCTTAAAACTTTATGGCTCATTCTCCAATAAACATGTTAGAAAATCAGGATCAAAAGATTTAGATGTTCTAGCCTTCTTGTTACATCTAAGCTCATACTTATTTTTCATTGTATGATTTATGCACAAGAAAATGATATGCACTACTGTTATGAGCATAACCTATCAAAGACTTTATGTAACGATCTACTCCACCACATGGTATGATATTGTTTGGTTTGGACCCAAGCCTGTATGGTCTTTTTCTTGGGTTTTTATCCCAAAAGGTCTCATACTAATTGAAAATAACACCACCACATAAAAGCACTTCACATTTCCCTTACCTAGGCGATGTGTGACTATGCACCTGTAGCTCGCTTAGTGTGGCAGCCTGTCAGTACCTCTTGCACACACCCATTGCACACCCACCCACAAGGTCGCTACATTTTAAGTCCCACTTTAACTTTCATACAAATAGAACTACAACATTAGCTAGATACCCCTACACTTCTAAGAATTTTAGGAAGGTTTTTGATCTTTTCATAATTCATATGGTGTCACATTAGTTTTCTTTAGAGGTATTTTATTAAGAACATAATTTACGTAAAGCAAAACTTCCTCCCACAAATTCTGAATTAAACTAGAACTTATCAACATAGCATTCATCATTTCTTCGTGAATGATACCATGTTCTGAACAAATATCAGCACATGGTATTTTGTATTTATTAACTCTATCATTTCTTAACACCTTGATATTTTTGCCAAGCTAATTCCTAATCTCATTTTTGTAATATTTAAACATTTCTAAGGTTTTATCTTTGCTTGGTAGCAAATATACATGACAGTATCATGTGTAATCCTTGATAAAAGTAATAAAGTACCTTTTTTCAAATCTAGTTGGCACTTATTTAAGGTAATATAAAATACTAAATAATATCTTACTATAAAATTAAAATAATTCAACCAATATTGAATTATATAAATAATTCACTAATCTACTTATATAACATGCTTCAATTTCACATAATATTGAACACATCAATATTTAAAATATTATCATATAATAATGTATATAACATCATTTTATTATGTCTCAATTATTAGTATACTCTTTACTTGTTTATATTTTAAATAGAAACATATAATAAAATCTATGCAAGGAATAAGTTGTCTTAAGATTGTTAAAAAATTTATGCTTCAAATGATATTTAAGATATAATTAACCTTATAATAATATGACATGAGATAATTAATAATATGCTAAAAATAATTAATTAAATATAAAACTCGATATTTAATTAAATATGCAAATTAAAGCAATAAAATAATAATAATAAATAAAGAACCTGAACCGAAGCTAGTATTGAATATTATATTCTTAAGACAATTTACGTCTCGCATGGTACTGAAAGACTCTGTGGTGTTTGTCTCTTAGGATACAATAATTTACATCCACCAGTAGCAGCACTATAAACTCGTAGATACGGCGAACCTCCTTCGTGCAATACTCTCTCTGACTCAAAAAATGCATCTATAATATATGAATGTTAAATTGGATGCAATCCAAACCAAATTGTTTGGACCAATCTTAATATGACTCGATGAAATTGGATTAGGGTCTAAGTGGCTCAGACCACTTGACCTATGTTTGAATCCACTCGGGTTGGGTTTAAGTCTAGAGAGGGAAGGAGAAGAAAATGAATTGAAAAAATTGTAAATGATAGCCCAATGTGGTATTTATAGAAATATAAGTGCCTTTTCAGATTAGGTGTGCCCCTTCATCATTGGATACAACCATTTATATGTGTATCTTCATCAATGAACGCAACCATTTATATGTGTCTATTCATCAATGGATGGAACCATTTATATGTGTCTCTTCATCACTAGACACAACCATTTATATATGTCTCTTCACCACTAGACACATCCACTCCCATAGATTGCAATGGTTTATATTGAATAGGTTATGTCTATTCGATTGTACATTTTCAACCAACACACCCATTCACGTATGTATTGTAAGTCAATGCATACCTACAATTTATTAACTGTTACTAACCAATCCTCAACCACATTAAACATTAAGAATACAGAAAAGAACCGATAGAGGTTATGTTAAATAACCTGAATTTTGGAATTTGTATGCAACTGGCCTTTACACTAAGATATTCACATTGTAGTCTAACATAATACACATAGGCACCTAATTATAAATTAGTTGCAGATAAGTTTTATTCACCCTTGAAACACTTGTTTTCAGAACTAGTTTCCAACACTTACTACAATTAGACGTTGTTTTGTTAACGTTATCAACAACATGCCCACCTGGTTGAGGTCTAGAGAGACCTGTAGATGTAGATGTATTGGCGGAGAAGAAAAACTTGTTTGTCTAAAAGATAAATGACAAATAGGTTGATCAAAATTTACATAGGATGAAGTAATTAAGGATGATTTTAATTAAAAATTAAATCTAAGAGGGGACATGGTCAAGTGCAAAAATCACTCCTAATGTATACTTCGCGTAAAACTTTTACCTTTATTTGAAAAAGTGTGCTAAAAACATCCATATTCTTTTAAAATTATGCAAAAACACCATTTACCTTTTACTCTTTCGAAAATGCTGAATAGAGTGTATATGCTAATAATCTCGTAATATAGGGGTGTTATGTGCACATTAATTATATTTAACCAAATTTTGAGGAATTTATCACCTTTTTAAAAGAAAAAATTTCCCTATATATTTCCAATAACAGTGTGTTGTTCTAATCTTTTGGTATGATCACTCTCTCAAAAAACAAAAAAAAAACAGTTGTCTTATTAATATACAGTATGTCCATTTATAATTATAATGTATATATATATATATATTCCAAATTAAATTTTAATATAGTTATCATTTTTCATTAAATATCTAGTGAAAAAATTACATTAAAAATACTATTCATTATATATAAATAATATACATTTAATTTTTTAAACTTTACAATTTGCAAGAAATTTTCACATATATTTAGTAGTGATCTCTTACTTATTGTGGAATAAGAAAATTCTTCCGCACTTTCCATAAAAATTCTTCTGCACTTTCTATACCAACAATTAGATTGAATTTAATAGTCACATTCCAAACCCACCTATATATTTTCCTTTTAATACAAAATCTTGTTTCTAGTTCTTTACATAGCAACAAATGGGTGTTCAATTTTTATTGGGGAAAAAAAAAAAAAAACCATAAAATGGATATTCAATCACCTACGGTCATCATACTATTTAAATAGCAAGAAAACTACACTTTTAATTAAATCTAACCATTAAGATCAAATGATTCAAAATAAAAATAGTTTATAAAGTACAAAAAATACCCTCACAGTATGTTTATAGTGCGTATCACACCTTTCATGTGCTAAATGACCATTTTTGTCATTTCATAAAATGCTGCATTTTTAAATAATATGTAAAATATGTATATAACAGCAATTTAGGCAAACTATAGTTTAAATGTGTCACGAGGGACCAAATTGAAACTTTAAAAGTGTTTTCTACACAGGAGGGGCGTGATACGCACTGTAAACATAATATATTGTATTTTCTGCATTTGACCTAAAAAAAAAAAATTTGACATTTGTGATATGTATTTCTATTTATTAAAAGAGTAATAAAACTAAGTTCTTTTATTCCCGATTTATAAAACTAAGTTGATTATTCAATTTTTTTATTAATTTATTAATTATTACTAATGGGCTGACCTCAAACTAATTATGGATTTAAATTCTACAAGATTAAAATCCTTATATAATATAAGACAAATTGCGTCACGTCATTAAGTCGATGACATTAATGTCTTTTCATAAAAAATATCAATCATAAAAATATTAAAATTAAATAAAAAATTCATATAAAAACCTTGAAAACAGAGAATCTTTTATTTTAATATCTTTGTTAATCTGTATCTTATAAAATTCTTATTAATTTAATAACTTTTAGAAAGCGACCATCAACCTACCAAAAATTAGGTCTTCATGCAAATGACTGCTTTTATATACTGTACATAATCTATCAAAACATCAAGTAAAAAAATGGAACCATATTTATCCCATATTGCTAATGACCATAGATAACAGGCTAAAACATGTCTTAATCAGCCTAAACTTATCCATATACATTTTATTTTTATGTTTTTACATGGTAAAACAAAGGCACACTCCTATTCACGGGGTTCAAGTTTTTATGTTCGACGATGTGAGGTTATGCCACTGAGCTATCCATATACATTTTTTTGGTTTGTGTGCCCTTTTTTTTCTTTTTTACATTTTAGTCTCATTTTCCACCCAAAGCCCTGTCTATGGCTTCACATCTCATGTCTCTCTTCTTCTTCTTCTTCCTCTACTCAATCTTCTCCTTTAACTTGACCCAACAGCACCATCCACTTGACCCACTCACTCCATCAGAGCTCAATCAAGTCCGAACCATAGTACACGGGTCCAGACCAAGTCCACACCACAACCTGACCTTCCATTATGTAGGTTTAGATGAACCACAGAAACCAACCATCCTCTCATGGTTGTCAAACCAAGCCATCCAAAACCCACCTCGCCGAGCCTTCGTTATCGCCCGTATCAACCATAAAACTCATGAAATTGTGGTTGACTTAACGTCTGGTTCGATGGTATCCGATCGAGTCTATCATGGACATGGTTACCCTATGCTCAACTTTGAAGAACAAGTGGCTGCAGTCCAGTTGTCACTAACATATGCGCCATTTTTAGACTCAATTGGCAAGAGAGGGCTTAAGTTAGAGGAAGTTGTGTGTGGGAGTTTCACTATAGGATGGTATGGAGAGAAGAGGGAGAGTAATAGGGTGGTCAAAGTTATGTGTTATTACTTGGATGGGACAGTTAATCTGTACATGAGGCCTATTGAGGGAATAACAGTGATCGTTGACCTTGATGAGATGAAGATCAAGGATTACCGTGACAGGTTGATGGTGCCTGTACCGAAGGCAGATGGAACAGACTACAGAGAATCGAAGCAGAAGCCGCCTTTCGGTCCACGTTTGAAGGGGATAACAGTATTGCAACCAGAAGGACCAAGTTTCACCATCAATGGACATACAATAAGGTAAGATGGTTAGTCACACACTCACACAAACCATGATATTGACTGTCTAATAGAAGCCCCAATTTCTCTTTGGGTACATTGGTATTTTCACACTTGCTATGGAACCCTAATTCTATGGGAGTATAGTGGAGAGTAGTTAGTTGTAAATCATTCTATTTGTTTACTCTTCATTGTGTTGAGATCTTAATGATAGTTTTGGGTGAACTAACTTTTAACCCCTACTATGGACATATTCTTAGTTTTGGATGAACTAATATTTAGTTGAGATCTTAATGAATCTATGGATGAATCCTAATTTTGAGTGAACCAACTTTTTTTATTATTTTTTTTTGCTCTAATTTTTCGTGAGTAAACGATAGGGAGTCGATCTGAAATTGGATCAATTTTAGGTGAGTATAGACTGAGGGAATATTAAGGATATCATGATGATGTCAGTCTTCACTCGCATAAATAAGTCAAAGTTGTTCAACTTTCAGACTCCAAATCATTATTATTTTTTCATAACACTGTTTCCATTCTTGTGATCATTCAACCTTGTTAATTGGATGTAGTATAGTGAAACTCAACGTGATTCTCCTCGTTCAGCAAATGAGATTGGACAATTTTGTATTAGTCAGAATTTAGAAGTGATTTGATTCACACAGTTAATGAATAACATATCTAAATTTGTCACTACAATTAGGTGGGCTAACTGGGATTTCCATCTATCATTCGACATGCGAGCAGGTCCAGTTATATCCCTAGCATCAATCTATGACCTCGACAAGGATGAATATCGTCGAGTTCTCTATAAAGGGTTTGTGTCAGAGCTCTTTGTGCCATACATGGATCTAACAGAAGAATGGTACTTCAGGACATTCTTTGATGCTGGTGAATATGGGTTTGGTCTCTGTGCATCATCACTCGAGCCATTGAGGGACTGCCCAGAAAATGCAGTTTTCATGGATGGGTACTTCACTGGGCAGGATGGCACACCAGGAAAGATTTTGAATGCGTTGTGTTTATTTGAGCGATATGCCGGAGAGATCATATGGCGCCATACTGAAGGTGGATTTCCAGGGGAAGTGGTAATTGAAATTCCAACTGGTTTAAGTATCTACTGGTTTAAGCATAATAAGATCGATTGGGAAATTTTATGAATGAAAGTTGGAATTGTTTTGCAGATAAGAGAGGTTAGACCAGAAGTGAGCTTGGTGGTGAGGATGGTATCAACTGTTGGTAACTATGACTACATAGTTGATTGGGAATTTAAGCAATGTGGCTCCATCAAAGTTACTGTAATTTATGAAACTATTAGACTCCAGTATTGATTTTAAAACTGAAAGCATTAAAGTTTATTGAACACAAAGTCATTGCACCACTAAACAAATAATTATCATTACAGTTTAGTCAATCAACAACTGGAGCTCAGCTCATTCACAAGTTTAGATATTGAGTAATGCTACTGTGCCCAATCCACTCCAATAAACAATGTCTAACAAGGACTCTTTGGAGTGTTTACCTAAATAATTAACATATAGAGATTTTTATCATTTTTCTTACAAATTTAAGCTTCACATTTGTTTAGGACATGGCCATTTTCGGAATTGGCCATAACTTGTTAACTAGTAAAATATATTATCATGTTCATATAGTTTATTACTTTCTTTGTCTTCTTAGAGTGTTATAATAATTTTATTATTTATTTATTAAAGGCATGTAATAGGTTCATTACTTAATGAGCAAATGAATATTAAGATTATTAGTACATTGTTCAAATGACATTATGTGCTGTGAATCTAGACTCAATGAGCATCTCACAGGTTGGGCTAACTGGTCTGCTAGAAGTGAGGGGATCAGAGTACACCCACAAAGATCAGATAAAGGAGGAAGTCTATGGTACATTGCTGGCAGAAAACACACTCGGTACATACCATGATCATTTTGTGACCTACCACCTTGATCTCGACGTGGACGGTGATGCAAACTCCTTTGTCAAGACTAGCTTGAAAACTGTGCGTGTAACTGACAATAGATCTCCAAGGAAGAGTTATTGGACCGCTTTAAGTGAAACGGCTCAGACCGAGTCTGATGCTCGGATTCAGCTCGGCTTGAACCCGGCTGACCTGTTAGTGGTGAATCCAAACAAGAAGACCAAGGTGGGGAACAATGTTGGCTACCGTCTGATCCCCGAATCCACGGTGGGTCCACTACTAACGGACGATGATTACGCGCAAATGCGTGGGGCCTTCACTAAGTACAATGTGTGGGTCACACCATATAACGAGTCTGAAAAATGGGCTGGAGGATTATATGCTGATCAGAGCCAAGGTGATGACAACTTAGCCGTATGGAGCCTCAGGTACCGACGGTTTGATCGGCATAATCATGGCCTTTGACCTGATCATTTTTACAATTGGTATTAATAATGGGTTAAGGTTCCTAATTAGTATTGTTAAATTACATTGCAGGGATAGGGAGATAGAAAACAGGGACATTGTGTTATGGTACACGTTGGGCTTTCATCATGTACCATACCAAGAAGATTTTCCGGTGATGCCAACGGTTAGCAGCGGGTTTGAGCTCCGGCCAGCCAATTTTTTCGACCGCAATCCGATGCTCAAAGTAAAACCTCCCAGAGATGTTAAGTGGCCTTATTGTTCCAAAATAGAGATGCCTTAATTCAATGGATTTTTGGCGTTCTACACTAGGCTTAACAATAATGGGGCTCTCCCAAGAAATTATTGAATATTTCTGGAGTACTGCCAATATTATACCTAGTAATTTAATTGTTTCATTGTGCTTTACATGTTGTTGTTATTATTATTATTATTATTATTATTATTAATTTTCGAATGATTAGAGAGGTGTTCCCACTCTTTGGGTGAAGCTAATCCTTTTCAAATACAATGTCAATGTCTAAATGATAAATGCCAATTTTAATTTGGAAAAAATCCTTGTTAATTTAATGATCAATTTATAAAATAAGTTATGATCAATAAAAAGACATAGTCCCATATACCACAAAAATCCTAAAATATGATCCATATATGACAAGTAATCACAAAGAAAGAAAGGGATGATAAAATAGAAGAATAGATAGACTAGAAGAAGGGGATGAGAAAATAGACGAAAGAAGGTGAGAACAGGGTGAATAGATAGGCACACTACAAGAAATATGGGTTTTAGTGACAGTCTTAAAAATTGTTTCTAAAACCTTCCTTTTTAGGCAAAGTCTTTAAAGATTGTCCCTAAAACCTTATTTTTTGGCACAATTTCCAAAACTGTTCCTAAAACCTTCTTTTTTAGGCAAAGTCTTTAAAGACTGTCCCTAAAACCTTATTTTTTGGCACAGTCTCTAAAACTGTCCCTAAAACCTTCTTTTTTGGCCCGATCTTTGAAACTGTCCCTAAAACCTTAAAGAGCCCGTCCCCAATTCCACAAAAAAAAGTGCGGCAAAACTTGGCGCTTCATTCCTTGTTTGGCGCGATCAAAATTTTAATATATTTAATTATCTTATTTTACAAAATGCATCAAACTACGTTGTTTAATATATCATTTCATCCATATACCTAAAGTCGATCTTGAGACTTAGTCTTCAATTCGATCTCAACTCGGCCTCCTCAAGCCCTCACGCCTCTTCCACCCTCTTCCACCCTCGCAGAAGACAGAGGCTCTTCCACCATCGCAGAAGACAGAGGCTCTTCCACCACCTTCCACCCTCTTCCAGCAGTAAAGGCCGAATGACCCAATCGTTCTGACAGCCACTCTTAATCTTGAGGTACAATATTTTTATTTTGTAAAATTTTAGGGATTATGCCTCTTTCCTCGATTTTCAGAGAACCCCCATCTCCGATTTGACATTCATATAACCCACTTCGGTTTAATGATCCTCACCATAATTTTTTTTTAATGCAAATACATGTTGTAGGGTTTCGAAATTGCAAATGGCCTAACAATCGAAGGGGTAAATTACAAATCTGGATTTGGCGTTTGGTCTGAGTCTGAATCGCTGTGGGAAATACATGTTTGAGATATAACGAGTTTGACTTGCTGTTGCCTTCATTCTCATCCTTTTTTTTCCCATAATATAATAACAATGGAAAGGATCTATAAGGGTTAGATCATAATGTCTAAGTATACGGATTAACTGTGTTTCACCATTTAATTAAGTCCTTTATTTCAATAACTATCTCGTTCTCTTATTGTTTTTTAGCTTTTCAGGGTCTTATTTTGAGTTTTATTGGTATATACATGTTCTACTTCTTTGATGTACGTAGAACTGATTTTAGAAACTTTTTTTTGTTCCAAGAACGTTGATAAAACTGAATGTGGAGAGAATATATAAAATGCACGGTATATATAGGATGTGTATTTATATGCATCAATTAACCCATTAATTAGTAATTCAGTATGACTTGAACTTTTCATATTGTCACTTTTGACTGTTAACTAGTAGGGTAAACTAATGGTTTAGCTTGAAATTGAATGGGTCATAGAGGGAAAAAAAAAAAAACTGGGTTTCAACTTCAACCGAAGAGCTTATTGGATCAAACACCTTACCCCTCTCCCCCTAACAAATGTCTAAACAGTGTATATATTTCTTAGTAAAATAGAAATAAAAATAAATAAATAAATAAATTTACCAACTAAATTGAAACTGAATTTGGACAAGATCTGTTGAAAAATCTCCTTCTTGAATAATTTTTAGTGTAAAAATAAACAAATAAAGGTATACTTCAATCTTCTAACAGATTCAATCATAAAAAATTTCATTGTCTTCTATGTTACATAATCTCAGCTAAATGCACGAAGACTCATGTTAGTCGCGCCTTGTATTTATGACTTGTCTGTTCTAAAAGACCCGCAAATATATCCTGTAATTTAGATTGACTATGCTAAAATGCATATGAATTTTTTAATCATGAAGTCTCCATGTGGAATACTTTGTGCTGCATAATACACCATGTCTTCCTAAGTGATAGAATATTAAACACTAAATATACGGATATTTAGCCATGTTCTTGTCTCCTTTGTTTGGGAATTTGATAAAACCGACACTTACATATACCCACACTTAAACAATTAGTCATGTCCGCCTAACATAAATTGACTTTGTATTGCGGTTGTATATTTCGTTCATTAATATTAAGTAACGATATTCTAAAGAATGTACCAACTTCCTTCTTTGTTTGGCAAAAGTTGTGTGATAAGTGGATGTCACCAGAATTTTCGGTTTAATTTTTTAACTACTTTTTTTTTTTTTTTTTTACTATTTAATATAATAACTTCATTCACTAGCTATTTGGATTTCTTAACTTGTAATATTGTTTGAATTACTACTTAGGAAATAAGTGAAAAAAACAAAGAAAACTGTTCCAAGAATGCGGTTCCACATTATTTTGGATCGATGTCCTTCATCAGACGTTACGGTGCTTATGTACGTAATATATGAAACAATAATTATAAATTTTTTATTTTATATTCTACGTTCTAAACCATATATTTGTCTAATGGTCACTATTACTTTGTACTACAGGTCAAACTCAAAGAAAGGCAGAGCCAAGAAAATAAGGACGGTGAAAGGGATGAGGATCCTGCTATTCGCTTGTACAAGGACACACATTTTAAGGAACAAGGAGGATGGGCACACGAGAAAGCTAAGAGAAATTTTGTAAGTTAACTATAAGCTAGCATGTTGGATTATGAAATTTAGATCTCATAATATTTTTGCAGTTTATAGGGGGTCATATGTCTTTAAGTGACCATTTTTTCAATTTATTAGGGGTCACATGCTTTTAAGTGACCATTTTTTATTTTTTGTGAACAAATGGAGGTGGGGGATTGTTGCGGATGAAGTGTGATTTTCATTCATTGCATTTCATGTTTAAAAAATAAAAAAATATACTGAGAATAATTTGTTGAAATGTTGGGGCCATGTGACAAAGAGGGTGCACATTGAGAGAAGTTAAAAGTTGTGTTAATGTGATAAGAGAGATCATAAAAGAGAGCGCTTTATTTCTATGATTATATAGAAAATTTCCCAAAAGTAAGCTATCACAAAATTTCTAGCAGAAGCCATCTATAAATGTCTAAAGAGCTTGCAGCAAAGTTTAACCATCATTCATCAAGTATCAAAATAACTGGACAATAATGCAAAACAAATTTAAGTCTTGAAAATAGAAGACAAATATGGAAAATATTTTTTACAGAAAGGCTTGGAGGAAAAGGATTCGTAATTCTTAATGACATATATTCTTTTGGCTCTTATTTTGAAATCTATGAAAATCAAAGCAGAGATGTGGAGCAAAAAGAAAAAAAAAGTTGCTCTTTATCTGATTATATGTGTGTAAAAGAGTATGATTTTGGTTTTTAAAATGTTCAAACTACTCTGAATCTACTCAACAAATTTTAAATACTAATATCATTTCCTACTTTAGTTTTATAAAAAATCAAAATTATTGATTTAAAATGTTCAAACACTTGTGCAATGACAGTCACTTAAATGATGGCCTTGATGTTGATGGTGCCTTGATCCTATCTAAGGTTTCATTTTGTCTTTACTTTTTGTCTATGTATATTAGAATAATGCCACAATTTGGATGGCAGTTGTAATGGCCATCTTTTAAACTAGGAATACTATATTTTGGACATAAAAAAATAGTGCCAACACCTCGTTAGTCCAAGCCCCTAAAAAAAAAAAAAAATGGAAAATTATTCTAAATCTCATTTTTGAAGGTTGTAGAAATCCCAATTTAATAAATGAAAATACTTATTTATTTTAGCTTTTTGTTTTTGTTGTTCTGCCAGGCTTATTTTCATTATTGTATATTTTGCTTTGGAAAAGCTCAGCATTATAAAAAATAAACAATAAGAAATGAATGTTGGGATTACAATAGACATGTGACAACAACTCAAAAGACAGACAAACTGCAATGACAAAATCATAATGGACACCCACATGGTCAGTAGTTGTGGGCACTTGAATGGCATTACATGGTTACACAATTTACACACTTGTGCTCACAGTTTGGTGGCCCTGACCCAAGTGTGCTCAACATATTTTGTGCTTCTTCATCCCTATTTACTCTTTCCATCCTTTCAACTCCCTTCATAATACAAAAGATCATATATATATATATATATATATATATATATATATATATATAACTTTTAATACCCATTTGCTTTAAGTCACTCTAAATTAGGTTTGCGGGGAGTAGACCTTGTTCACTAAATTTCAGATGTACTGGAGTATCTCTGGGTAGGCGTTTCATTAAATTTCACATTTACTAGTAATTATTAGTGTTATAAGGGGGATAATCTCCTTTTTTGTGCTTCACTAAATTTCGGATTTCCTAGAGTAGTTCTTTTGTGCTTCAATATTAAATTTAAATTTCACATCTACTAGTAATTATTAGGGTTATAACGGACTTGTGACACATCCTGACTTAAGCAGGCTAGACATACACAATAGAGATGTGGAGAAATTTTGCCCTGAATAGTTTACATAGCAGAATTGTTTTCTTCACTCAAAATTATGAAATACTCATCTAATATCATTCTGTTACAGCCCCGTGAATTAGAATTCCTACCTTTGAATATGCGAAATAATAACTTTGTTATTTCTACGGAACCCGAATTGGTTGTGGAAGTTTCTTTAAATAATACCTGTTGATATTGTTTATTGCATCTAATAGCTCTATTATATGTTCATTTGTTTCATTCATGTTATTACTATATATGAGGATTTGTTGTATATTTACATCATTTTAAATTTATAATGCAGAGAGGGTGAGTTTGCAAACCCACCTGCTTGTAGAAGAAGCTGTGCTGCCCTTTTTGCTGTGCAAGTGAGATATTTTATAAATGTAAATGCCTGGTTTGTATTATGAATTTCTTTGAGAGGGGAGAATGATGAAATGTTGAGAAAATGACATTTTTGTTTCTAGTTTCTAATATCAAATCTTGAATATGTGTAAAGTATTCAAAATGTTTCCTTAAAGTAGATTGCTTTCAGATAAAAAGTGCTTACAATTAATATCAGTTGTCATTTGTCATTGCAGTATGTCCAAACTCATCCTTCCATTTTGAAAATAAGCATTCCAATAATCATGTTTTTCTCTCTGTTGACATTAATATTCTAGCTTGCGTGTGATTTATTCCTATGCCATATTCTTTCAATTTGATAGCAAACTTAAATATTTTGCAGGATACAATGAAAGAAAAGGCTGCACAAAATTCTCAAAATTCTGATGGTATGAGTCCAATCATAAATGATGTTGAGATAGTGCAAAAACCAATAAGGCATAAGGAAGGGATATTGTCGTGGATGGCAAAATTACTTTGTACCAGCAACAGCCGCCACTATGGTTCCACCATTATCAGCGGTAGCAGCAACTGCCGCCATGGTTCCACCAACAGCAGTCTCCATCAAATTCCCAACAGTAGCAAATCGCACCAAACTGGTATCAACAGCTGCTGCCACCTCCACCAGACTCTCATTTGTAGCAGCCGCCACCAACAAGGTGGCAATATCAACAGCCGCCACCAACATGGTGGCACCAGCAAGCACCACCACAACCACCAATATAATTAAAAAATAGTGTATTAGGGATAGTCTATCCGTCCCTAATAATAATAATAAATTTATTAGGGACAGTCTATCCGTTGGGGATAGTCCCCAAAACTGTCCCTAATTCGAACCTTATTAGTGATAATCAATACCGTCCCTAATAAGTTTTTGGGACAGTGTTATTTGGGACAGTAAGTATTGTCCCTACAAGTCTAAAGCATTTGTCACGGTCAACTTTGATCGTCCCTAAAACTCTTTTGTCACGCTACTTTTAGTGACGCACCACTTTGACCTTTAGGGATGGTTTTCGAGCTTTTAGGGACAGTTTCGACTGTCCCTAAAACCCTAATTTCTTGTAGTGGCATGATAGATTGAATGGGTGAGAAAAACAAAAAACAAAAATGAAAGAAACAATATGTTAGTCCTAAGTTACCTTAAGGAATGCTTGTTTTTTAATGTCAAAAAGCATTACAATGCTTTAGCCTCGGACAGTGAAGGTTCAGCGCTTCAGTTTTAGCTACAGGTGCTCACAGGGGTACTATGGTCTCTTCTCAGTTGTATTTCACATATATACGTATGCTCAGGTACCTGCATTGCACTGAAATTGAACCTACATTGTGAGCAATACAGCCTCGGCTCTATCACAGTGCTGAGTAGAGTTAAATCTGTTTTGAGGGCAGTATGGCCTTTTCCAGCTATGCTCAAGAATGTGACACATCTCAGTGGTCCTATAGAAGAATGTGATACGTCTTAATGGTCTTAGAGAGCTGGTATATGCAAGAATATTTCATTCCTTAGAGGTTAAGTTTGGACAGAAATGGAATTTAGTACTCAAACTTGTAACATGCTGTAGCTGGTAGAATAATGACAAAATTAACTGAGGTGGCAGGCCTGTATTGGTCCACTGCTCTGAAAATATCTGAAATATGCACTCTCAATCATTTGCTAGAGGTGACAGGTGTATATCCGTGGTGTGTGAGGCCTTGTGTAATTCAGTGTCTCTATAAATATACTGTTATAAGGCTCCTTAGGGTTTAAGCCTCTTGAATTAACATTACACATTGAGTTGCTGTTGAGAACCCTCGAGTATGCTATGTCAAGTAAGTTTTTCTCTACTTTTTGATGATGATCTATGTAAGAAAAACTCATTGAATCCACTCTGAGGTGTGTACTAATTGCTGAGATGAGGCTGCTGTCAAAGTTGCTGATGCAAGGGCTACATTGAGTAGTGACTTGGTGTTTTAAGTTGCTGTGGTCGATTCTGAAGGTTGACATAGGTATAATTCATCTTTTTACACCTGTTCAGACTATGTTTGTATCGAGAATATGCTAAAAATGAACTTGGGCAGTGTGGTCACTAGTTAAGCTTGTTTTTTTGAAGAAATGTTGGATTCAAGTGCTATTTCATGATGATCTATGCTGTTAGCTAGTATATTTTGATCAATCAAGATTGTTAAAGTTGAGTTTGTGACAAAAATATGGTATGCTTTGATTTTAAGTATTCTGTGCCGTAGTTGTTTTGTACTGAAGCTAATCTGTACTAAGGCTATTCTGTGCCGAAGCTTTTTGTGCGGAAGCTTTCTGTGCGGAAGCTATTTTTGCCGAAGCAATCTTGTGCCGAAGCTTTTTGTGCTGAAGCTGTTATATTCTGAACCAAGAACTTTGACTGAACTTTATGATAAACTTATCCTGTGTTTGATTATGAAAGCTATGAACATGAGTATAACAGTGAAAGAAAACTGTATGCAGCGCTGGTGAATTGATCTCGAAAGGAATTTCCTATTTTACCCCTCAGACTATAGATGCAGCAGATTACAGTTCTGAGGCAGTAACTTAGAATTCTGTGTTGTCCAGCCTATTGTAATTGTTGCAAAGACTTCATTGTATTTAGTGTGATGACACTTATTGTAAATGGTAGTGAGGCTTTACATTCTCACCCCATTGTTGATTGAGCTATGAGAGCTTATTTGGTCAAAGCATGGTTGCTTAGGACAGGGGGAGTGCTCGGATGCACTGTGGTATACTAGTGTGTGTGTATTGGTTGTGAAAACTAGTGTCTATTCTGCTACATGGGTGGGTGCAGAGAGTGAGACAGCTGGGTGTGTAACAAGATACATACAGTTAGTGGATTGCTTATTGGCTGAGGCCAAGAACCAATGTTTTCCCTAGCTTAAAGGGTTTCTTTATAAATCTTGTGTTATCTATTCTTTGAATGCTTGCTTAGTGTGTGAAAAGGTTTTTGAAAGCAAAGTTTTAACTAATTCACCCCCCCTCTTGGTTCAATAATTGGTATCAGAGCTTTGGTCTGCATTGTAAGGTTCTAATAAGCTTACAGTTGATCCCAGCAATGGATGAAGGTCAAGATATCAACAAAGCTCCAGGGTTTGAAGGTTCAAACTATGATTATTGGAAAAGTAAAATGGAAGCCTTCTTAATGTCTCAATCCTATGATGTTTAGCATGCTACTGTACATGGTGTTGTGATGGTAAGGCCAAACATATTCTCTTTTGTGCCTTGAGGCAACAAGAGTTTACTAGAGTTAGAAATTGTAAAACAGCCAAGGAAATGTGGGATTCTCTTCAGGCAGCTCATGAAGGAAATAAGGTTATTAAGGAGAACAAGATACAGCTATTCAAAGTTCAGTATGAGGTTTGTAAAATGGAATAAAGAGAAACTGTTGCTGAGTACATGTTCAGGATCAATGACCTTGTCAACAATATGAGAGCTCTTGGTGAAGATATTAAGGATGTTGATGTTTGTAAGAAGATACTAAGGTTACTCAATTCTAGATTCAATCCTAAAGTGACAATTCTCAAAGACAGAGATCTTTCTGAAGTGAAGATTGTCAAGCTTCAGGCCTCTCTCACTGCCTATGAAATGAGAATTGGTGTTCCAGCTGTTCATAGAAGAGAAACTGCTCTTAAAGCAAAGGAAGTTGTTGAAGAAATTGAAACAAAGCCTGAAGATGATCTTGAAGAGGATGAGGTAGCCTACCTTGCTAAGAAATTCAGGAAGTTCAATTTAAAAAGAAGAATCAGCTGCAAAATTTAACCTGTTATGGTTGTGGTAAACCTGGTCATGTTGTATCTAATTATCCAAACTCAAAAGGGCAAAGTCAGAAGAAGAATGAGGGAGGTAACTACAAAGGAAGGTTTAGTAGAAAAGCACTTATCTTAGACTGGGATGCAGCTCCTGAAGAAGATAAATCTGAGGAGACATAAGAAGATGAAGGTCTCTTTATGGCAATTCTCGAAGCACCACAAACTCCAGTTCAAGTTGAAGAAGATAGTGACACCGAGATTGACGAAATTCTTGAAGAATGTGAAAGGCTTGCAGTGAAGTGTAATCAATAGAAGTTCGAGATAAAAAGGCTCAATTCAGAATTGTTAGAGTCCAAACAAATTCTCACTAAACACTTCAAACTTAAACTTTCAATGCTGTGTTCAGTTTTTCTTATTTTTCAAAGCCTATTGAAATCTCAAGTCAACACTTAGTGATCTACCAAGAAGTGTAAAGAAGAACTATCTCTCATTATTGAAGAAAGATCCCTAAAGATGGCTGAGATCTGGAAGCAATCCACAAAGCAAATTGGGAAGACTAGAATTGGCTATATGTGTGATTCAGCCATGAAGGTCAATCAAACTCACTCTGTATTTGTCAAAGCCACAACTGGTGAAGTGTATGCAAGGTTTCTTATCATAAAACCTCCGAGGTTCAAGGGTGAGTTACTTAATAACACCTGTAGTGCTCTAAGCTTCAACAAGAGATACTTTGTTACCACAGCTATAAGGAACTTTAAGATAAGTAGAATGTTTGTCAAGAAGTCAGACTTATCTTTAGCTCAGAAGATCAAGGACAAAGGATCATCGTTGAAGACTAAAATGATGTGGATTCCTAAGAAGCTAAACTCTATGATTCTTCTTATGTATACAGCCTTTAAAGCTTATAATACCCAGGACAAATGGTATATTGATAGTGGCTGCTCAAGACACATGACAGGTGATGGTTCCAAATTTAACTCTTTAAAGCAGTTTGATGGTGGAAATGTTATATTTGGAGATAATTAAAGAGCTAAGATTGTTGGAATTGGTATTGTGAGTAAGTCTGAAGAATTGCTAGAAATTCAAGATGTTTTATTGGTTGAAGAACTCAAACATTATCTCCTTAGTGTTAATCAATTGTGTGATAGTGGGAAGGAAGTCTATTTCAATAAAGAATGGTGCAATGTGATTGATCTTTAATCAAAACAAGTTTTGTGCTCAACTAATAGATCTTCAGGAAATGTGTACATAGTCACTGAAGAAATTTAGATCACTCAATGTAATTTAACAACCTGTGATGAAGCAAAGTTATGGCACAAGAGGTTAGGTCATCTTTATTCAAGAAATATATCCAAGATTTTAAAGTTAAAAGCTGTTATAGGACTGCCTGGCATTAGTTTTAAAGATGATCACCTTTGTAAAACATGTCAACAAGGAAAGCAAATCAAAGT